CAGTGAATCAAAAAGAGTTACGATACAGAAACAATATACATTGAAGTAACAAATATGATTTTTAAAAATTCAGTAGAGGTTTTACGGCGCTCGCAACTGCATAATGTCATATGAGCGCCAGATGATTAGAGGTGTTACAAGAGAGTAACAAACATTAAAAAGAAAAAGGAAAGAAGAAGCATAATAAGAATAAGAATAATAATATGAATGCACTCACCCTGACAAACACTTTCATCCAGTTGTCGTCGCTGAGTTTCCCTGTCCGCGAGAGCAGGTCTCTCTTATCGTAGAACGGCATGATGAGATAGCCGGTGGGACCACAGAAGACGGGACGAGGCAACAAAGTCACAACTCCACGTATGTCAGAAGCCAGTTTCATCAGCCACATCTCACGGATGAAGCGATCTCTATCCTCATCAGAGCGAAGAGGCATCTGCTTGACAGCGAATTTCTTGTCAGGGATGATTTGGGCTCCTCGCCAAGAGAATCTTGCTACGTTGTCCTTGGTGCAAGACGGACGAGTACTGCATGCGGTGGTAGTGGAAGACATCTACCTCTTTAGGCAGCTGGATGACACTAATCTGCTCCACAGAACTCATGGTGAAATGAAGAAATACTCGGATGTGACCAAAGACTGATTGAATGTCTATGAAAAAATCACCAGAACCAGAAGGGGATTCTGAAGATCGCAGTAAAAGCTGTCGTACTTTCTGAATATAGTGATGACAACGTGGATTCAATAAAACAGCAATACAATGCACTCTACACTCGACAAACGAGGGGAAAGAAATGGTACAGACAAACGTTTTGCAAGAGTTTTTATATGATGACAAACGAAGCGTCCTTTTTTGGGCGGGAATTAAACGCAAAGTTCTGATTGGTTAACGGGCCACGCTCAGCTGTCAATCTTCTTTTGTTGAAACGTCGAACTTTCCAGAAATTCAAATAGTTCTCACGGCTCGTGGCCAGATTACAAAATCGCCGATAGCCTCAAGGGGGTAGCGTCTGGGTGTCCATTCATCCATTACGCCGGTGACGTAATCTTCATAGACGCTGACCACGGGTCAACCTACCGCCCCCGCTCCTACGGCGGTTTCTGGTTTGATAACAAAAGACCGAACAGTAGTCACGCGGTTGGATTACGGGCACAGTTGAACACGTGTTGAAAGGTCATGAAATTATGGAAATTTCAACGATACAACTCAGTTTGACACGAAATCTCTTTTCGAAAAAACAACGTGATGGCGTTGAAATGGCTTTTTTTTTTTATTGTTTACATTTTTTTGGTAAGTGTTTTCGGAGACGAAAAAGTAGAGACGCATCACTCCTCGATTTCGGCGTGATTGGGGTCAGGCATCCGGTGAAAGTTTCACACTGTACAAACTAATAGTCTGTTCCTTACAACCCAGGAATCGCCGTATTGTTTTCATAGAAAATTAATCAAGGGGGTTTGTCTGAATGGGTTTTAAACACCATTTCTCTTTCTTTACCGTCACGTCAAACCCGCATCCACACATGAGTCAGAACATTCTGGTAATTCTAGTCAATATTTGGATTCAAAATTCAAAACATACCTTACTGTATGTTCCCTTTCGGTCGGTATAATTATTGGCCTGTCTATGTCACGTCCCCTCTTCTTATTCCTGGATGCATCTCATTGCATTAGTGCGCTCAATGTGAGAAAATCTTTTCTATTCTTCTTCTTCTACAACTTTTTCATAGTCATTTTCTTCTTGTTCTTGTTCTTGTTCTTGTTCTTGTTCTTGTTCTTTTTATCGCGTGTGCTGTTGGTGGGTGCTCTGGTGTGATTTAGGTGGGTGCTCTGGTGTGATTCATTCCTCCCCTCCTTTTTTTTGTAGATGTAACTCTCTTGTAACTCATCTATTCTTCTCTCTTGTAACTCATCTATTCTTACTTAAACTTTAAAAAACTCTGCTTCCTCGCAACAAGTGCCGTAAAACTCTTACTTAAACTTTAAAAAACTATGCTTTATTGACCAACTTCACCACATACCACTACTTCCGACGTATTGACTGAGATGAAGCCTCGCTCCTCCCTCTGTCCCCGGTATTAACTATATAGGAAATAACAAGGGGAAGTGACTTTGAGAGGAACAGACTATGAAAATGTACTTCGTGACATAGTTTTGAGGCACTGCGTCACCGACCTTGCGTCAATAATATGATGCGAAGAGGGGCCAGCTGACGAAGAAAATATCTCTCACTAGTAA